TTTTTTTTTTTTTCACAAATTCTAGTGATCTCACTACAGCAGGAAATACTGCAAAAACGCACGATCACACGGGCCCATCTGGTGCGCGTCACCAATGACTCTTTTGCGTTTTTATGTGCTCGTAGGAAAGGCGCGTAGTAGCGCTAGTCGCCTATGTCCACTGTCATTTAAATCTCAGTGTGCGTGATATGTCGAAAAAACATTGAAAAAAGAAATTTATTTGCGAATTCAAGAAATGTTTTAGAATGGTACGATGGATCCGGTATACGTGATGATTGAAGCACGTGATGGTGGTTCGCTGATGCGCAACGCACAGCGGAAAGTGCTGATGCAGTTCATCAAGTTCATCCAAGCCAATGTAACAATGTTGTATAAAGGCCGGGAATACGGGTACCAGGAGCTTTGCGAGCCATACTGCGAAATGAATACTGCTTTTATGGCTTTCTTGAGGCTTTATGATGAGAGCAATCCATCCACTTACACTTATCCAAGCATCGATCTCTTCGGCTCGCAAGCCTTCATTGGTGAGCTTTCTATCGGTTCATGTTTCTAAAGCGTGTCAAGATTAGGCCCTGGAACTAGAACTGCTTTTCCACAGATTTAACTTCACCCATTTGTAAACTTATCCAGTGCAATGAGATCACATTAGTAAAATGTGTGTTTTTCATCATTGCTGGTGGTAGCGTAGCAATCTCACAATTTTCGGTTTGAAGATGATGTTAGTTCTTGCTATCTCGAAGACCTGAGGTATGATACGAAGTGTCAGGAATTGATATGAATTGGCAAAAATTTTAAAAACCTTGTCTTGTTGGCATACTTATCGGCTATGAATATCCGTTTTATGTAGCGATAAGTTCCGGACAGTTTTATGATAAGAACTCAAGACTGATAAAAAGAAAATTAGTAGGCCTTTTTCTTCGCTTCTTGTGACCAAAATAGCACTCGCTAAACGGAGACGTAAATGCTAGCAGTGTCCTTCCCCATGACTTGCGGGTTATTATGTCGGAGAAGTAACAAAGTGATGCATCTAGGAAACAACGCATACGGTGTGGTGCTCGAGGAAGGCACCAATTACATTAAATCATTCTCGACGGCAATCCTCGATCTCTTTATCAGCGCTCCGGATGAAGATGAACCAGTACTGTACGAATGGCAATTGGAAGTGCAGCGTCATTTGGATGACCCTGAATTCAGTCTTCTCAGGGTGAGTCCACTTACATGTCCGGTGCTTTTTACCAAGCAAGAACAATATCATCCGTTCTGTCCAGTGCTCTCCACAACCTAAGTTACAGCTGCCCAGTTGCTCTTTGGCCACTCAAGAGAGTAGGGTGATGCTCGTCTACCGTGAAAACGGCGCTCTTTCGAGCTGCACTTCGAGTTTGCGGTGTGTGCAGATTGTTTCAATTAACTATTATTTATCACACTGTCACTACTAATTCATTCTCTGCCGTTTTTGCTGTCTCTGTACGAGAATTGGCTTGAAATTCAGATCGGCATTACAAGTGACAGCCTGGTCTCCGCAGAAGTGCGTCGCATGGGCATGGAGACTGCGCCGCTTCTTGCTGGATCGATTCTGGGGATGATACTGTTCGTTGTGGGCAGCTCGTTTAGGTCAGCCAAACCGCTTTTCGTTAGTGAAACTAATACTGCTTCTGGTGAATAAAAAAATAATGATTGGGTAAAGAAAATGACGACTATAATTATCTGTTTCTCCCGTAAATTTTAACATTCCATTTTTATGCGTTTTTGCATAATATGCAAAAACACATATTGTGACGACCCCGGTGTGTGTGTATGTGTGT